GCTCACCTACATTATCAAGTGTAATTTTCTTTACTTAAGGGCAACTGACTGCAAATGTTAAGCATATCTACAAAATACTTTCATAGCAACATCTAGACTAGTATTTGACCCAGTAACTGGGCACCATAGCCTAACTAGGTTCACACATAAACTAGCCATCCTAGTCTCTGTCTTCCTATTCCCACTAAAGTTTCCGGTTGAGCTTTGAAGAGAAAATTGCTTCATGCTTTATTATTGTGTATATGATGTTCATATTTTGCTTTGAATTGTATGCACTTAGGAGCGTGTAGTTGGGATCAAGCATATGATAGAATTGCACAGGTACATTTGCTGAGTGTGGGAGGGCATGTCTTGGAGTAAGAGTCTTGAATGCTGAACAGAGGAGTTGAGAATTGGCATAATAAGAAATGAGAGAGCTGAATTTTGATGTCACTTCTTCCAGTTAATGAGTGTACCACCTTCACCCATCCTTGTGCCCATCCTTTTCCTCTCTAATACCTTCCCCATCAGAAAATAATAATACCATTTGCTTTTCATTGGAGTATTCTGAATGGGAAGTGAAAGCTTTGAAAGCAACTGAGAATAAAGACACTGCATGCATCCAAATTGTTATTGTGTTGGTAAGCTTTTGCTGATTTCCAACATTCTTTCTTTGATCTGAACTCAATGTCACCAAGTAGGGAGTATCTCTCCAGTAGCTGGTGGTATGTCCAATATTGTACTTGTGGCTTTCTAAGTGATTCTCCAAGCTGCTGAGTCAGCTGCCCAGAGGTGATTTGCAGAGATGCCATTGAAGGCTTTGGAGGAAATCCAGGGTCCAAGTATTGCTAGTCCTTCTCTAGAGGTTTCTGCACCCACCCCCATCTGCCCTCCAGAGGTATGGTTGAGAGATAAAATAATGACCAGTTAAATTTGAAATTTAGATAAGTAACATTTTATTATTATTTAGTATAAGCATGTCCCATGCAGTACTTGGCACATAAAATGAAAAAATGTATATATATTCCATGTTTATCTGAATTTCACATTTTACCAGGCATGCTGTGACTTGTTTTGATTACTTTCTTTCTGTGTCTCTAGGCCTTACTTTCATATATCTTTTCACTAATATCATAAATCTGTCATGTTAAAAAGAATTGTGAAGAGCTTCCTCTTTTGGAGAATGTCCTCAAAGAGAATACTTTTTCCATGATTTCCCCAGCTTTGCCTGCAGCCATGCTTCTCCATAATCTTAAAATGGGGACAGACATCTGAAATCAGAGTCTCAAATCCTGCATCCTGAGCTTCATCTTCCCTTGGGACCCTCAAGAGTTTTCCCTTTCCACACCTATGTGGGCCTGTTGTTGTTAGGTGCTATTGAGTTGGTTCCGACTCAGCAACCCTGTGTACAACAGAAGGAAACATGCCCGGTCTTGCACCATCCTCACAAGCATTGCTATGTTGAGTCCATAGTTGCAGCCACTATGTCAGTCTGTCTCATTGAGAGTCTTCCTCTTTTTCACTGACCCTCTACTTTACCAAGCGTGATATCCTTCTCCACGGACTGTCCCCTCTTGATAACATGTCCAAAGTGCATGAGATAAAATCTCACCATCCTGGCTTCTTAGGAGCATTCTGGTTGTACTTCTTCCAAGCAGATTTGTTCATTCTTCTGGCAGTCCATGGTATATTCAATATTCTTTGCCAACACCATAATTCAAAGGCATCAGTTCGCCTGCAGTCTTCTCTTATTTGGGTGTGCATATGTCTGTTCTTGTCATGGCTCTCACTTCTTTAGGATATATGCCTAGTGATAGAACAGCTGGGTCAAATGGTATTTCTAATTCCAACTTTTTAAGGAATCGCCATACTGCTTTCCACAGTGGTTGTACCATTTTGCAGTCCCATCAGCAGTGTATGAGAGTCCCAATCTCTCCACATCCATACCAGCATTTGTTATTTTCTGTTGAACTTTGCTTCTAATACTGGGGCAAGATGGTACTCGTTGTTTTGATTTGCATCTCTCTAATGGCTAATGTTTGTGAGCATTTCTTCATATGTTTGTTGGCCACCTGAATATCCTCCTTGGTGAAGTGTCTATTCATGTCTTCTGCCAATTTTTAATTGGATTATGCCTTTGAGTTGACTCCAACTCATAGTGACCCTATAGGACAGAGTAGAACTGCCCCCAGAGGTTTCCAAGGCTGTAAATCTTTATGGAAGCAGACTACAACATCTTTTCCCTGCAGAGCAGGTGGTGGGTTCAAACCACTGACCTTTTGGTTAGCAGCCAAACTCTTAACCACTGCACTACCAGGCTTTCTTGCCTACTCCTGTTAGAGCTCTAGAAGCTCTGGTGGCATAGTGCCTAAGGCATTTGACTGCTAACCAGAACAGTTCAAACCCACCAGCCACTCCTTGGAAGGAAGATGGGGCAATCTACTTCTGTAGTGATACTGCCTCGGAAACTCAAGGAGGGGTCGCTGTGAGTTGGATCCGACTCTAGGGCAGTGAGTTTGGTTTTTTGCTCTGGTAGCATAGTGGCTAAGACACTTGCCTGCTAACCAGACGGCTGGCGGTTCAAACCCACCAGCCACTCCTCGGAAGGAAGGTTGGGCAATCCTACTTCCATAGTGATACTGCCTCGGAAACCCAAGGAGGGGTCGCTATGAGTCGGGTTTGACTCGACGGCACGTAACAACAACAACAACAAGCTGAGAGCAGCCCTTCCACCTGAAGCTGAGACCTTAACTTAGAGCATTCCTTGCCCCTTGCAGTGTTAGGCTAAGAAAAGACTCTCAGAGAGGAACTATTTTCTGGAATGTGTTTCCTTATGGGTGGGCCTCCTTAAAGTGGCTGGATGTCTGGTATGAAGGTATGCTTGTTGAATAAGAGCCTCAAAGTCCTCATGACTATCAGTCTGGCAGTTGTGGTTGTCTGGTGAGACTTCTGGGTTTGTTGATTACTGTGGCCCTGAACTCCTCAGCAGTCTGCAGCCTTGTTGCATCTGAGATCAACTGCTGGGAGAGTCTGGGATCCAAAGAAATTGTTCTGTGACCTGAAATGAGAAATCCTTGTTTAGAGAATCAGTTTCAGGGAACTGTATAATAGAGTGGGAGTCCCTTAGTGTTGCAAACAGTTAATGCACTCAACAAAAGGTTCTAGTCTACCCCAAAAGGCAGAAGAAAAGCCTAGCTATCAACTTTCAAAAAATCAGCCATTGAAAACCTTGTAGAGCACTGTTCTATTCTGACACTCCAGGGGTCACCATGAGTCAGAATCGACTGGAAGGCTACTGGTTAGAGAGTGGTTAAAAGAGAGGACTGGGGAGCCACAAGGTCTGGATTCAAATCCTGGCATAGGGCGTAGGGAATGGTGAAAAAAAAAAAAAACAAACAACAACAAAAAATACACCTTCTTTCATCTTTTGCATAAGAATTTGACCTTAGTTAACTTTGTAACCTATTTCCCTGGGAACCTGATAAAGGGAGCTTGTTGGCTATGTTCAGGCAAGGTTGCTTATGATAAAGGTGACCTTGGATGGGTAAAGGGCACCTGGGCAGGGACACCTATCCACATCTGCTGAAAGCCATTCTTTGTGCTTCCCTGAGTATAGTAATTTTTTCACTGGCCTGTCCTTTATGGGGATCCTGGAAGTTATGCTTCTGGAGGTGTTGTAAGTGTGAGGGTCTAAGGGTGGTTGCCATCCCTACTGTCTCCTTGCGTATGATGAGGGTACAACAGGAATAGCTCCTGGTCGTGTGGACCATGGTATGGACTGGTGCTTATAGGCTGGTTCTGTTGAAGAGGAGTGCCTTAGGCTACCCACCAACAAACTCTCTGTCCAGTCTTAAACCCTTCTAAGTAAATCCAATATCAGGTATACCTGTGCTAGTCTTGTGAGGCTCAATTATTAGTGAAAGACCCTTGATGGGCCTTACAGAGTGAATTCTGGCAAACTTTTTATCTCTATGTTACCTACCCTATTGCATGGGGTAGGGAGCAATACCTACCTTATAGGTTTGTCTTAAGGATTATAATGTGCTTAGAACAGTGTCTAATACATAAATGTGTATGCTGCCATTGTTGTTGGTGCCATTATTATTGAATGCAGGCCTGGAGGCCCTTTCTCCTCTGGGCCCAGGACCTTCTGGGCTTGTAACTCACTCTGTGGCTTCAGGCACATGACCTCATTCTCTAAAGACATAGGTTTTTTGGGGTATATTCTAGGTACTCCATTTCTTTGTTAAATAAATAGATGAATTAGGAGAGTTCACTTAATGCCCTTTATGTCTCTTCTGATTTTGAATACATAAGATTTTTGTGTGACATTGAATTAGAAAAAAAGTTGAAGGAGGAATGGGGAAAAGAGGGGAGAAACCACTTTTAGAGGAAGTAGCATTAGGAGTCAGAGGTCAGAGGTCTGGAATAGACTGGAAAGGGGATAAGCATCATCAGGAGGAGTTAGAGGGCATCCAGTAATCTCACTGACCCATAAAACAAAAAACCAAGTCAGGTACCAACAAGTCAACTCTGACTCTTGGCGACCCCGTGTGTGCAAAGTAGAACTGAACTCCACTGGGTTTTGGTGGTGATCTTTTGGAAGTAGATAGCCAGTCCTTTCCTCCAAGTACTTGTGGGTGGGCTTGGACTGCCAACCTTTCAGTTAGTAGCCCAACATTTAACCATTGGGATCACCACCCAGGGACTTAGAGAGGGAGGTAGAAGATTCTGACCCTAGAGAAATTCTTTACAAGAGTCTTTGTTTCCAGGGCCAAAAGGATCAGAAGGCAGAGGTGTTTGGCTACAAAAAGGTTAAAAATGACTGCAGTTGGTTGTTTTGAAGTATTTCTTTGGGGAAGACTGCAAAGTAGCATCATCCCTGGAATTTTGAGGACACTGCTTACAGTGGCAGTGGTGCTAAGGATTGCTGGCCTCCCGAACCCCTGGGGGAAGGAGTTAGCAATGGCGCCAGACAAGGCTGACCCTCATACTGTGTGTTTTTTCCCTCCCTCCTTCAGGTCTGAATGCTGGTGCTTTTTATGCCTTGTCCACTCTACTGAATCGCATGGTGATCTCGCACTACCCGGTAAGGGAGTTCCCCAGACATGCTGGGCTCAGAGAATATGAGGTCCATGTCTTTCTCCAGAAGCCAGCACCAGTTAGCTCTCAGCACCCCAGTTCTAGGCAGCATGGTATGGTGCTGTGCTTATGTGATTTGGAGGGAGATGGCCCTGGGTCTAAACTCTACCTCTGGTGGTACTACATTGTGTGCTGATGTGATGGTGACAGCCCAGTTAGTGTCTCTGAGCTCTTATTTTTGCTTCTGGAAAGAAAGCATATATATATATATATATATATATATATATATATGTATGTATCAGAGTGCTTAGAATGAGCCTGATTGCAAGATAATTTTTAGTATTAGAAAGTAAATAATACCACGTTTGTGTGTATTTATGTATTGTGCATAGTAAATATGTACAGGAAATCACATATGAAATATTGAATTTGTAAAATAAGAGAATTGTTTAATTTTGAACTCTTGATTGCTTAACTTGAAAGCTTTGTAATAATATTTTCAGGAACAGAAAGACAAAGAGAGGTACATGGGAGGTACAGACAACAAAGATACCCTTTTGCACATACAGTACTGCGTTGTCAGTGAAGGCAAATGTGGGTATAAGGGTGGATAGATGGGTGGACAGGCTGAACTATTAGGTATGTCTATGAAGCAGGGAGTGTACACAAGAACAAGTATAGGGTTGGCAGACAAAGGTCGTATAAGTTTATGTGTATGATCAGAATTCCCAGGTGTATAGTAGAGCTGACAAGAGGCAAGGTTGTAGTCATTGCTTGGTCACAGCCAGCTACCCAGAGGGACCGAGTAGTTGAACCTGTGGGCTTGGGACCATAGTCACAGGGGACATCAAGCTCAATTGGCATAACATACTACACAACACATTGTTCCACCTCCTACTTTAGCAAGTAGCAACTGGGATCTTAAAAGCTTGCAAGCTGCCATCTGGATGCAATGATGGGTCTCTCCTCGTCTAGAGCAAAGAAGAATGAAGAAAAGCAAAAACTCATGGATACAATCAGTCCTAGCGATTGGTACACCATTCAATCCACAGCCTATACGACTGTGAGACCAGAAGAACTAGATGGTGCCCAGCTACCAATGTCAACCACTTGGAAGGGGATCTATGTAGGAGATCCTGGATAGAGAGGGAGAACAATGTGGAATAAAACTCAAAATCATTTGGAGAAAAAAAAGGGGGGGTGGGGACCAGGTTTGCTGGTCGATAGAGCCTGGTGGAACCACTGAGACTATGGCCCCTAGCTGCCCTTCAGGTCTGAAATTGAACCCATACCTGTGGCTTCCAGCCAAACAAAAGACAAGCATATGAGTTGAACATGTACCTGAGGTAGATACACTCCTTGGCGAGAACAATCGTGGGAGAAAGAAGGGCTGTTTATGCACAGGGAGACAGCTCAGGGGGCAGGAGGGCCTCGAGGGATGGATACAGGGAAGATGTAATTATCAGGAGGAAGTGAGAGGGGAGCTGTTGCATTTTGGTAAATTGTGGTCAGTGTCATGAGACAAAGTGTATGTGAACTGCTGTATGGAAAGTGAATTTGCTCTGTAAATTTCCACCCAAATACAATTTAAAAAAAAAAAAAAAGTAATAGTAAAGCAACAAATGGCAGTGGGGAAAAATATATATATATATATTTCCAGGACCAGTAATGACTGGATGCTTAGGGATGGGATACTGAGGTCCTGGAGTAAGGACTACCTAGGTCCAACCCTCTTTTGAAAAGACTAGGATCTCACAAAGTCTGTGGATGGTGCAAATGGTTAAGCGTTCAACTATAAACTGGAAGGCTGGCTGTTCAAACCTACCCAGAGATGCCTCGGAAGAAAGGACTTGTGATTTTCTTCCAAAAGGTCACAGCCTTGAAAACCCTATGGAGTGCCATCATGTTTTGCCCACATGAGTTACCATGAGTTGGAATCGGCTTGATGGCAATGGTTTTGGTTTAGGGTCTCACACTTGCAGAAGTGGTGGATCATTATGACTAAGTGTTCCAGTTCTGAAGTTTAGCAGGTCTGCAGTTAATACTGTGTGACCTTGGGCTAGTAAGTTAATCTCTCTGTGCCTCAGTTCCTTCATCTGTAGTGTGGGGATGCTGATTCCTAACCTAATGGTGAGGAATTGTGAGAATTAGGTGAGGAATTGTGAGAATTAAATGAGATAATGATATAAAATCCTCAGTCTGGTGACAAGCTCATTCTAAGCACTCAAACACACACATATATATAATTATTATCTTCCTGTTCTTCCAGCCACTGACTACTCAAAAGAACCTAAGAATGGAATATTTGCACATAATATTTCAGTTTCCCCATCTGTGAATTGGGAATAAGTGATAAATAAAAGAGAGAAGGGTTGTTGTAAGAATCAAAATTTTAAAATCTATTTAAAGGAGGTTTTAAGGACAGAATGTGGTTCACCCTGTCACCCAGCATCCAATACCATGTGTGCACATCTGGAATTATATGATGTTGAGGGGAGCAACTCTTCTAGAGTTCTCGTCCCATGGGCACCCTCTTACAGGTCATCTTACCCTGATATTTTCTGAGAATTAGCTCAACTGGAGCTAATGTAAGGAGCCCAGGTAGTGCAGTGGTTGAGTGCTCAGCTGCTAACCAAAAGGTCTGCAGTTTGAACGCACCAGCTATTCCATGGGAGAGAAAGATGTGGGAGTCTGCTTCTATAAAGATTTACAGCCTTAGAAACCCTGTGGGGAAGTTCTGCCCTGCCCTATAGGTTGCTATGAGTCGGAACTGACTCAATGGCAATGGGTTTGGTTTGGTTTTGGAGCCCACATGACTTGCCTTTGCCCCTTCACCTCATGGTCTCTACCCTCTGTCTGCTGGGTGACCTTTGGGGCTGTGATTTCAGGGAGAGGAAGTCAATGCTGGAAGAATTGGTCTGACCATCGTTCTTGCAGGGATGCTCGGGGCCATGATCTCAGGCATCTGGCTGGATAGATCCAAAACCTACAAGTAAGTGACTCCTCCTCTGGGAGTGGGAATTGGAGGACCCATGTTTGTAAATGACATATCTGTTAGCAATATGGGTCCAAACATTTGAGTACAGCGGTTGGGAGTCTGAGTGGTCAAGCTAGCAGTTCACATTTATCTTCTCTGAGTCTCAGTTTCCTCATTTCTAGAATGAGGGAAGCAATACCTGTCCTGTGGGGATCTTAGGAGGATTAGAACTAATGGACATGAAGGCTGAGCTCAGTGCTCAATGTAGAATGCATATTCATCATCTAGTGATAAATGTAGAAAAGATGTTGGAAAGTGTAGAAACTCCAAAGTGTGGAGATGAGGAGGTAATGTCACTACCCTGTTCCCATGGTTCCCTTTTAGATGCTGTGGCGATAACCAAAGTACTCTACGGTTAGTCTAGTTTGTAGCATATTATCTTGAAATTAGAGTCACTGGGTGGTATAAATGGTTAAGCGTACTGCAATGTTGGAGGTTTGAGTTTACCCAGACGTACCTTGGAAGAAAGGCTTACTCCGTACACAGCATAGTTCTACTCTGACACACATGGGGGTGCCATAGATTGGAATTGACATGATGGCAACTTTACCCGCCCCCCTCCAGTCTCACAATTGCTTATACTTGTTGGTAAATACTGTGATGTGTTCTGGCCCTGACTGCCCAATTCAATTCTGAAAGCCCATAGCAGTCTTGCTGAGATCTTCATGCATGCCAGGGTAACTCAGGGGTGCATATTAGAAATACAGGTTCCTGGTCCCTACCCCCATGTGTGCCATTTCAGCAAGGGAATCTGCATTTGTATAAAGCAACCTTGGCTTCAGTTCAGTAGCCACCCTTGCCGAACGTGCACCGGAGGACAGAGGTCCAACATCCTTCTCTTCATGTTGCATCCTTCCAATGTTCTGCATGCGCTGGGTGCTCAATTAACGCTGGCTGACGGGGCGGCTGACAGGGTTGTCTTGTGCTGAGGCAGGGTGGCATTCCAGGCTGCTTTGTCAAGGCCTCTAAAGTTCTCAGTGTCTGGAGGCGACAGACAGTGGCAGACCTGTTCTCTGCCACACAAACCCGCTTCTGTGTGGCCCTAGTCAGACCAGGTCCCACTCTGACCACCCTAATCAAAGGCCAATTGAGGCCATCCCCAGGGATGTGGCCACCACGATTAACACAAGGAGGAGCCTGGCTCGGCTTAATTACCCCTGGTGGAGCCTGGCTGCCGTCTCATCTCTGCCATCTATAGTTGGTTGCTTTGGCCAGACATGAGGGCAGTGAGGACTGGTCACTCCCTACCAAGGGAACAGCAGTGTCCCTTTTCCGGGGCTTGCTCTCCAGCAGGAGAAGGGGAGATTGGAATGTGGGCTGGGCTGGGACGTGGGCAGCTGGAGGAATCAGATGAATTAGACAATACAATGAAGGGGCTGGGCACGACACTTCCTCAGCCTTCTTCAGAACCTAGATGTCACTACTTCTGAGTGTCTTTTGATGTCTAAATCCAACAGTCAGCATGAGTCACCAACCAAGACAGAGGAAGGACAACTCTTGGCAGGATGAGAGCGCCCTGGGTTCTGGTCATTTTGGTGCCAATTCTCATTCCTAACCAAACAAACAAATAAAACCAGTTGCCATTGAGTTAATTCCAACTAATGTCAATACCATGTGAATCAAAGTAGCCTGTGCTCCATAGGGTTGTCAGTGGCTGGTATTTGGAAACATCCTTGCCTTTCTTCTGAGATGCATCTGAGTGGACTCGAACCACCTACCTAATGCTCCCAGATTTGTCCAGTTTGGTTTGGAGGCCAGAACTTGGGTGGTGAGGTCCCTTTATCTCAGGCTGGGGCTACAGATAGGTTTTCTAAACTGGTCTGTGGTTTAAGAAGAAATTATGGTTAAACAGAGAAGGCCCCCTCCTCCAAGAAAAAAAAAAAAAAAACAACCAGACCAGCTTATGGTGAGCATGGGAGGGGGGTCAGTGAAAAAAACTAGTGTTGGTGAAGTTGTTTGCTACAGGGTGGGTGAGAGTAGAAGGAGGGGAGTAGAATGATGGAAGAAGGGAACCTTGTACCCTCAGCAGCTGCTTTGAACCACTGAGTGAGAAGGGCATCCTTTGAAAACTCTGACCTTGAGCTTTTCCAAACATGCAGCCCCATAGTGTGTTGTTATTCCTGTGTGCAATACTAGGAAGAGCACAGGTTTTAACTCGCAACTTGGCCATATACTCAAATGGTGAATTTGAACAAGAAACTTAACTGGTCTGAGCCTCATTTCCTCATTTGTAAAATTGGGGATAGGCATACGTTTCTTGCAGGGCTTTTGTAAAGATTGTGTAAAATACTGAGTGCATGGAAAGTGCTTAACACAATTTTTGGCACCCAATAAATGTATTTGTTTGATATAACTATAATGTGTCACTCTGCTGGTGCCCCCACTGTATTTTCTGGCTTCAGGCTTTGAGTCTTCATCACCTGAGTCCTGATGTTTGTAGCAGGAGGACAGAGTTGTGTAGAGCCTGTGCCTTCAGTAAGCAGTGTTAGCGTTTGCAGAAGGAGTCAGGGCAGCAGCAGAGTCCACAGTGGGCTTTGTGGGAAGAGAAGTGCATGGAGGAACACAAGCAAGGGGGAGCCTGAAGGGGAAACCAGAGCATTGCTGGTGGTCTGAGGAGACTGGCAAAGGGGAATGTCACAGGGAAGGGAGGCAAGTTCTCAGTTTGGCTTTGGAGTCAAGCACTTAGTTCAGAGCTGAAGAACGTTCTCTTTTAGTCCCTGCTGTCCAGGGCATAGTAGTTGAGATTCAACATGAAAGACTGTGCTGGGCCTATGTAAGGAGCAACAGGAAGAACTCACAGATGACAGAGACAATCTAAAGATCACTCCCCAGCATTGTCGTGGGGTCTTGGGAAAAAGCAAACAAGCCAAGTTGGATGGCTTCTGGAGTAGTCCTGCATATCACTGCCACTTAAGCACAGTTGGTGTTTGTCCTGGTTTTTTTTGATTGGAAGTTGGGGGAAGAAAGGGCTGTGCCTATGGGTGGGATATGGCAAGTCAAGGGGCAGTTTGGTCTGGTTGAGAGGGTTCTGCTGAAAGAGAACACACATCCAGCAAGATAGCTTTATGCTCTCCTGGTCTTTCTCTTTGTAGCAGTGACCACAAAATAATTTAATAATTCTTTGCGCGATCATCGGTTCAGTGTCCATCACCCCATCAACAGAAAGTTCTGAGGGCACATTCCCAGCACATGGCAGAGAGTTTGATACAGAGCAGATATCCAATAATACTTGTGTAATGAGTGAATGAATGATGCCAGTAAAGTCAAAGTAGTGTAACTCAATTTCTTTGCCTCTTCTTGTAGGGAGACAACCCTGGTGGTATATATCATGACTTTGGTGGGCATGGTGGTGTACACCTTGACCTTGAACTTGGGACACCTGTGGGTAGTGTTCATCACAGCTGGCACATTGGGGTAAGTTTCACCATACATCTGTTTAAGTGGGAAACACCATTCCATTGCTCTTAGATCTGCCAACATCGTAGGAAGCAATATTAATCCTCCTACTGACCTCTGGAGATGTGGACATGGTACCCAGGGTTCTTGTTTACTTGTAGCACTTTAAAAGGCAGTCTGGCACTTCCAGGCCCCTCTCAGCTGTTAGGATGGAGTGGAGCACAGACCTCTGGGAGGCTAAGAATATTTAGAGGCTTTTCCCTGAGCCAACATGGGGTCATAGAAAGTACACAGGGCTTGGAATCAGAAACTCTAGGTCCTGGTCTTAGTTCTGCTGCTATCTCTCTGTTAGACTACAGACATGTCACTTAACTACTCTGAACCTGTTTCCTCATCTGTTCATAAAGAAGATGGTGCCTGCCTCATAAAGTTGTTGGAAGGATTAAGGGATAAAACATGTGAAGGAAGCAAGAAGTGAGGTGGTGCTGATGTAAGATGTTAGACTTAGAATTTTCTAGACTTGTTCTATGAAGAAGCACAGGAAATTACACCCCTTTCACAGGTCTCTGCTCAGCTCCCCCTCCCAGTTATTTTCCTGTGGGCAGTGCATGAGTGTGTGTGTGTGTGTGAGTGTTAGTGTGTGTATGTTTATGAGAGAGAGAATGAGTAGAAACAGACAGACACAGCTCTTGCACTCAGTCCTTCTTAGCCTGCTACTCTCTGAAGGCAGATAAGGAGGACGCTGAGCTCCTCCTTCCAGGTACTAGAGAGTCATGGAGATACTGTTCAATATCCAGTATCTTAGTGATCTAGTGCTGCTATAAAAGAAGTAACACAGTGGATGGCTTTCAACAAACAGACATTTATTTTCTTACAGCGTTGTTGTTGTCATTTGCCGTCAAGTCAGACCTGACTCATAGCGACCCCTCCTTCGGTTTCCAAGGCAGAATCACTACAGAAGCAGATTGCCCAACCTTCCTTCCGAGGAGTGGGTTTGAACTGCCAGCCTTCTGGTTAGCAGTCAAGTGCCTTAGGTATTATGCTAATTTAGGGTACTGGCTCTTGTTGTTATATGCTGTTGACTCGTCTCTGACTCGTAGCGACCCTATGTACAACAGAACGAAATACTGCCCAGTCCTGTGCCAGCCAAAACGAGCTTTAGGGGAATGCTTTCTCTCTCTGTGAGCTCTGGTGGAAGGTCCTTGTCTCTTTGAGCTTCTGCTCCTGGGCAATCTTTATGTGGCTTGGCATCTCTCTTCTCCCATCTTTGCTTCTTTCACTTGGTTGTTTAATCTCTTTTATATCTCAAAAGAGATTGACTTAAACACACCTTAACCTAATCTCCTGTGTCATTAATATCACAAAGATAATTCCTCCCAAATTGGATTATAACTATAAGCATAGAGGTTAGGATTTACAACACGTATTTTTGGGAGACACAATTCAATCCATATCATCCACTACCAGCATAAGGCCTGTGTACACAAGACACAGAAACCTCTCAGCTGAAGGTTAAACATACCAGGCAATGCATGCCTTCTGTAAATGCTGACCCTGTTGGTCATTAGCGGCTAGATACAGAAGCAGGGAACCCTGGAGGACCCCTAAGCATGAGGCCTTCATGTGGTCTTCTGGGGTGTCTTCCTTTTCTTGGAATAGCCATGTAGTTCAAGGCACTGGCATGTCTTGACGGGAAGAAAGGAAACAACAAAAGCAGTTTCAAGGGAAGAGGTGGACTCCCCATCCTTGTTCTGGGAGTTTGCCATCCCCTTATTTCTGTGGTCTGACTTTTAGCTTCTTTATGACTGGCTATCTCCCTCTGGGATTTGAGTTTGCTGTGGAGTTGACATATCCTGAATCAGAAGGCATATCATCTGGCCTACTCAACATGTCTGCCCAGGTAGGACTCTTATTTCCTTGCCTGGCTTGGCGTGGTATTATGGTGGGTTTCTTAGCCCCATGGGCTAGTTGGCTGGACTCTGGTTTGTATTCTTTCTTTCTTGTGCCTTCCAGGTATTTGGGATCATCTTCACCATCTCCCAGGGCCAGATTATTGACAACTATGGAACCACACCAGGGAACATCTTCCTATGTGTGTTCCTCACACTTGGAGTGGCTCTCACTGGTGAGTTGGGGCTTGAGAGCAAGAATGAGGTTGGGCTTCTCATGGGCAAGGCTGCTGGCAATAGGGGACCCCAGTGTATTGGTTGGTTGTACAGATGGGGAAGCACATGTAGAGGGACAGATGGGAGGACTTGTTAGGTAATTCGTTTGGGAGGCAGTAACATGGCCTGGTGGAATGACCATGGGCTTGGAGCCAAAAGGCCCATGTTTGAATCCAAAACTGGGACAATGACCTAGAGTCACATGACCCTGAGCAACTGATCAAATTCTGAGAGCCTCAGTTTTCTTACCTATGAAATGAAGATTGTTGTGAAGATTAGAGCAATATATGCAAAATTCCTGGCAAATGTAAATGACCCATAAACAAGGCCCAGTGTCATTATGTTGTTAAGGATACAGTGACTAAGTTGGCTGATGGTGCCCAGTTCCCTTGAATATCTGAAGTAGGTTTGGGATACCTGTGGCCTTTAGGAAAATGATGAACTTGACCAGTGATCTGCTTGATGACTCTGTTGTCTTTCTTGCTCTTCCTCCTTAATCCCTGGATGTCAGCATTCATCAGGGCAGATCTCCGAAGACAAAAAGCAAACAAAGAAACTCCTGAGAATGTGAGTATGTGGGAGTATGATGGGGCTGAGATCTGAGTCTCAGGCTTTTGTTGAGGATGTAGCAACATGGGAGGAGGTAGGGGAATTCCCAAAGTGGACTTGTTTTGTGATGACTGTGAGAACAGCTCAGCTCTCACAAGCATGCCACCCAGAGTTTTTCCTCAGTGACAGTCTTGGCATTGCATTTCTGCTGCCCCTCCCTGGGCTGTTCTCTGGTGGGAAACAGTAGCAGGGCCTGCCTCCCTGGCTTTCCTTGCACCACTGTTGTCACAGTATGCTGAGCAGCAACCACCCCTTGGATCCTGAGCCAAGGCCAGAGGTCAGTGGCTGGAGAGGAAAGGTAGGAGCTTGAGCACTGTGTCTTGGTAGCAAGGGAGAGGACCAGGAGTTTGATCTGGAACAGTAAAGTGTTTCCCATCAGCTGGGAACCATTTTGACCAAAATGTTAAATATAAATCTGAGAAAATAAAAAGAAATTCAAATCTAAGAAGTGTAAGTGGAATATTTTAATGCATTTTATTGAAATATAATTTATGTACAGTGACATACACAGAACTAAAGTGGCATGGAACAATGGATTTTTTTTTTTTTTTTTTGCAGTGTTCTGTCCCCACCCCTCCCACCGCTGGCAACCAACAAAGAAAGTTTCCCTCCATATATAAACCTTTCCTTGACCCTCTACAACAACAAACTAGTACTATATTTGTTCTTCTGTGATTGACTTATTTCACTTAGCATAATGTCCTCCACGTTCATCCACGTTATACAGTGTTTTGCAGACTCTACATTATTCTTTAGTGCTGCATAGCATTCCATTGTGTGTATGACTCTAGTGTGGTCATCCACTCTTCCACTGATGGGCATATAGGTTGTTCCCATCTTTTTGCTATTGTAAATAGTGCTGCGATGAACATGTTGTTGTTGTTGTTATGTGCTGTCAAGTTGGACCCGACTCATAGTGACCCCTCCTTGGGTTTCCGAGGCAGTATCACTACGGAAGTAGATTGCCCCATCTTCCTTCCAAGGAGTGGCTGGTAGGCAGTCAAGTGCCTCAGCCACTATGCTACCAGAGCTCCTGCGATGAACATAGGTGTGCTTATATCTGTTCCTGTCCTGGCTCTCACTTCTCTAGGATATACCTAGTAATAGGATTGCTGGGTCAAATGGTATCTCCAATTCCAGCTTTCCAAGGAATCGCCATACTGCTTTCCACAGTGGTTGTATCACTTCACGGTCCCACCAGCAGTGTATGAGTGTCCCAATCTCTCCATGTCTTGACCAGCATTTGTTATTTTCTGTCTCGATGAACCTTGCCATGAGTGCTGGGGGTGAGATGGTATCTCACTGTTGTTTTGATTTGCATCTCTCTGATGGCCAGTGATCGGGAGCATATCCTCCTGTATTTGCTGGCTACCTGAATATCCTCCTTGAAGTGTCTATTCATGTCTTCTGCCCATTTTTCAATTGGATTGTTAATTCCTTTGCTGTTGAGGCACTGGAGTTTTCTATGTATCTTAGAGATAAGTCCCTTACGAGATACGTAATTATCAACAAATATGAATTTATTGCTGTCATTTTTGTTACGTGCTTTTTCGTGGTGCTGATTTCTTTGTTCCATATAATTTTCTGTGCTGAGCTCGTTTTGTTTATGAATTGTGTTATCACTTCCTTCATTGCTGTTGTTTTAATATTTGCTAAATATTTGTGCTGGTCCTCTTTTTTATTGTGATATGAAGGTTTATCATTTTTTTCTTTGAGGTTACCCTGTGATTTATAGTTTTTTTTCCCCAAGTTCAGACTATCTTACAGTTGTCTTGACTTCCCTACCATTTAGAAGTTCTGTAACTACACAGTTTTTCCCCTCTTCTTGGTTTGTAGTTGTCCTCATTTGTCCAATTGGTGTCTCTGGTTCCCTGTTTACAATCTTGTAGGCTTATTTCCTTTGGATACTTCCCTAGCTGGGTTAGTTTCTGGGTTATATCATCATGTGTGTTAATGGTCAGTTGTTGTTGCTGCTCTTACTTCTCTGTCCAAAGGACTCCCTTCAGCATCACTTGTAAGTTGGTCTGGTTTTAACAAATTCCCTTAATTTCTCCTTATCTGGAAATGTCTTAATTTCACCATCATATTTGAGGGACAGATTTGCTGAGTACGTAATTCTTGGTTGGAAATTTTTCTCTTTCAGGGTCATCCCTTTGTCTTCTTGCCTGCATGGTTTCTGCCAAGAAATCTGAGCTTAGTCTTATTGGTTGCCCCTTGTAGGTAACTTTTCATTTTTCCTGTGCTGCTTTCAAGATTCTTTGTCTTTGGTTTTGGTGAGTTTGATGATGATATGTTTTGGTGATTTTCTTTTGGGGTCTATCCTGTTTGGGGTTTGTCAGACTTCTTGAATGCATATATTCTCATTTTTCATTATACCAGGTAAATTCTCTTCCAACAAATGTTCAACAATTTGCTCTGTGGTTTTGTCTCTTTCTGTTCTGGAATTCTGATGATACGTAGATTATTCCTTTTGATGGTATCCCACGTGAACCTTATGCTGTCTTCATTTTGTTTTGATCTTTTTTCTGATTGATCACTTTCTAAATAAGTATCAAGATATTTGCAATCTATTTATTATATATTTCAATCTCACTAATTCTGTTTTCCATCGATTCAATTCTACTCCTTTATCCATTCAATATCTTATCTATTTCTGAAAATTTAGTACTAATTTTCTGGATTTCTATGTGTGGATTTTGTATCATTTCTAATTTTTCATTTATTTTGTCATTTTGTTCTTGTATTGTCTTTCTAAATTGTTCTAGGGTTTTCTCTGTGTTTTCCTCAATTCTGTCAGTGTTTTCCTTGATCTATCTCTCCATTTGTTGAAGATACCTAAATATAATTCTTTTGAATTCCTTATCAGGGAGTTCCAATGCTGCATCTTTCTCAGGGATGTATTTTGGGTCTGTATTCTGGCCTCTTGTTTTCCCTGCTTTATCTTTCTTCTTTGTGTGCACTGTGATGCTTTGTTGTCTCTGAGGCATTATGATGTTTTTGTGTTTATATTTAATTGGTGATTGTATGTTGAAGTGACCTGCTCACGATTTTTGTTTTCTTTGGATTTTATCTAAGTAAGCAGGGTACTGTGCTCCTGTATTCAGTACTGGCAGCACTTATACACTTACCACCTGTCTCCTTTCCCGTTGTCAGCCTCCCGTATGTCCCTGCCATCCTTGGCAAATGGAGCTTATTCTTAGGTCCCTGGAATCTGAATGAGAATGCTGTCCTGTCACTTTAAAATCCAAAATGGCCACCACTTGTAAAGATTCAAAATGGCTGCACCCTCGGTCACTTTAAATATCCAAAATGGCCACTGCCACTTGTAAACACTCAAAATGGCTGCACCCTCCGGACAGTGGAAAGTCCACAGCTCAGGTTGTCTCCCTCCTTGCTGTTTCCCTTCCTAGTCAAAGGCCACCAGTGCAGTCATCCCTGCAGCCCTTGGCAACCAGGGCTGATCTTTAGGTCAATTCTCAGACCCCAACACCACTTGGAAATATTCAGGCTGTTGGTCCCATCAGAGTAGCTGACAGTCCACTACTCCAATCGTCTCCATACTCACTGTTTTCATTCAGGGTTTTCCACTAGTTGGCACCTAATCCACTTCTGTATGCTTCCTTTCAAAGCTCAGGGCTCCAGGTTTATCTTCTGTATCTTTGTCAATTGGTTTCTTTTTTCTTTGTTGAAGAGGGTCTGTGTAGCTTGTCTGCCTATTCCTCCATCTTACCAGAAGTCTCAGAATATTTCTTTTTCCTTTTTTTTTTAAGTCATCTTTTTTTTTTTTTTTTTTTAAATAACAGGTAATACATGTTCTTTGTAAAAAACTACAAAATACAGAAAAGTGTACAGAATGGGAAAAATAAATCACTTTCTAGTCGCATCATCTAGACATGAAATGCTGTTGTTTTTTCATTTATTTATGCATGTCTGTGTGGGTTGTCATGAATCAGAGCCAACTTGATGGAAACTAACAACAACAACATATCCACATATAATATATATGTGAATGCATATGCATCTACCTATGTGTATGCATATATATATTTCTTTTTAACAAAAATAGAATCCTACTTGATCTGCCTTTTTCCTTAAAATACTATGAACATTTTACCAGGCTACTAGTCTTTTCTCACATAGTTTTAATGAATGCAGTGTTCCATTATATGGATAAACTTGACTTGTTTAACTATTTTCTTATTCATGGCCATTAAGGTTGTTTCCAATGGTTATTAACAAAATTATGAGTAATGACTTGGAAGCTAAATCTTTGTGTCTGTTGAAGTACAGTATTTCCTTGAGAAATGGATCAGTGGTCATACACATTTTTAAGGCTGTTGATGAATGCTGCTGTACTACTACCTGGAGAAAGGCAATACCATCATGTTACACTGCTATTGTTGTTGTTTGCCGTTGAGTCGGCCCCGACTCATAGCGACCCCTCCTTTGGTTTCCGAGGCAGTATCACTACGGAAGTAGGATTGCCCAACCTTCCTTCCGAGGAGTGGCTGGTGGGTTTGAACCGCCAGCCTTCTGGTGAGCAGTCAAGTGCCTTAGGCACTATGCTACCAGAGCTCCTACACTGCTATTAGCAGTGTGTAAGTACGTCAATGCTATCATTTTGTGAAACTTTTGCCAATATTCTAAGCCAAAAATGGTATCTGAAAGATATTTTTAGTGTTTTACAGATATAATTTGGCAGATTGATGATAACCTTTAGTTTTTCACTATTTGACTTCTGATATCACAGGCAGCAGCAGGTAGTATGTGTGAGGAGGAGCCTAGGACAGGAAGTTCACTGGGGAGGTAGAAGAGGCCTTACAACAGGGGGGAAATTCTCTAGAATGGTGTGGGGTCCATGGCATGGCCACTGGGGAGGTAAGATTTCCCCTGAGCCATGTATAAGGAGACATACTGACTTGGTGCACTTTGGGAGAAGGTGACTGTAATAAAACAAAATAGATTTCTGTTGAAAAGTTTTCCATGTGGAGTGGGATGGGTATTTTGTCAGGTGACATGAAGTTTTGCTCTGTAATCTGTTTACTTTGACAGATAAAGGCAAACAAGAAGAAAGTAAGAAATGACCTATAATCCTACCACCTAGAGATAACCTAGTAACATTTTGCTCTGTTTTCCAGTGTTGTTTTCTATGGGCATGTGTGTGAACATTTGATTTCCTAACCCACTTGTTAACTTAAGAAGCATAGCTTGGCAACCTTTGTACATCATTACAACAGACCACAATCTCATGTCAACATATAGACATTTCCATCTCCCCTTGTTCAGTATTTAGGTGGTTCTAAAATATTTCTCTACCCCAGATAGTGCGAGGATGAAATCATTATTCTTGCAGCCAGATCCTTGTGCACCTGGACCAGGTTTATTCATCAGGACTGGAGTTGTGGGCTCAGTGTGGGGTTTTGAAAATCGCACTGAGTAGGAATGCTCAGTTGTCTGCATCCCTGGATAACTCACTGTACTTCCTGGAAGCATCTGTGGACGTTTGGTGTGGGGAGAAGGGTCTACTCTGAGTCCTCAGAATCCCGCTGGGGCTGACACCAGCATAGGAGCCAAGGCTGTCACAGAGCATCCCTGCTCTGGAGGCCTGTCACTTACACACTTGGTGGTGGTAAGTGTAACTCAGAGACCTGCACACACATTCCCTGCCAGAGCCTAGTGAAGATAGAGCCCACAGCATCACGATCTTGGCTAGATCTGCTTTTTCTAATCAATGAGGTATGGATAGTTTTGATAAAAACAGGAGAGATTCTGGGAAAGGGGTAATAACTGACCTTCACTGTCAAAATCTTCCTGGTTTAGGTTTCCAGTATTTTTCTAATTGGAAGTTCTTGGCCACGAAGACAAAACTAACCTGTGTTCTAGGTTTCTGTGGTTTCACGGTGATGTCTTTGGAGGAAGTGTGTGTGTGAGAGTGAGTACTGATTTAGATAGGAATGAAGGTTCCCCATACCTGGGAGCCAAAACCAAGCTGACCTGGTGCCAAAAGTTAGCAAGACTGAAACACTAAAGAATAATGTAGATTCTACAAAACACTGCATAACATGGATGAACTTGGAGGATATTATGCTGAGTGACATAAGTCAATCATAGAAGGACCAATACTGTATTAGTTCACTATTGTAAAAAGTCAAGGAAAGGTTTATATATGGAAGGAAACTTTCTTTGTTGGTTACGCGGGGGGCGGGGAGGGGAAGAGAGGGAACACTGCAAAATAAAATAATAATAAAATAATAAAAGAATAGGAAGGCCACATTCATACAGCTCCTGCCATGGACTGGTCCCTAGACGCTTCCTGGGGAAGAGAGTACCAGTGTCCATTTGGCCCTGCACACTCCTCAGCCCTTGAGTGGCACTGGCTATATACAGTGTTATGCCTGCACCCAAGGCTTACCTGATAACTGGAAGAACCCTTGATGTTGCAAGCAAAGTGCTTCTTAAAACAACAGTGTGTACCTAGGAGCCCCATAGGATAATTTCCAATTCATATTTAGTTCCAAACTCATCTGATGAGTATGACTCAGAAGACTGTTCCCTGTAAACTAATCCAATGCCGCCTTTCCCAAGAAATCCAAACTGACCCAATGTCTTTTTTCCTACAAATAAAGTTTATGTATGCAAGTATGCATCCTCTTTGTAAAACATTTCTCTGTTGGATCTATACACATTATCTGAACATCCTGGGGGCTGCTTCCAAAAGGGGGAATTTTGAGGGAGTCGCAGAGTTGTTAGTCCTTGGGGCAGTTACTGAATGATTAGCCCAGGCAAGTTCCAGGTCGTCAGAATGGGGACAGAGAGTGGGCTTTGTGGTTTCAATTCTGAGAGTGTGGCTGGGTCAGTGGCTTTCAGACTGGATGTTTCATGATGACAGTGGCATCACAGAAAGCTGGCTTTGTTTCTCACTGATGACACTGAGATGCTGTGTGTGTAGAATGGGGAGCGTGTTTCTAGCAGGGTCAGTTGCTTCATGTTCTTCATTCCTTTTGGAGGGTGCTGAGTGGCCTCTGGCTCTCCTGTTTCCCACTGTTGAGAGTTAGGGCCAGTTGCTTCAGCCAGGATGGAGTCCCGTGCCTCTAGACACCCTAAGTGGTGCTGCTTGTCTTTCCTTGTAGAAACCGCAGGAGGAGGAGGAGGACAGCACTACCAGCAAAGCGCGGGCTACTATATCGGAGGAGCATCTCTGAGAGAACACGGTGGTGGCGACTCAGGGAACACCAAGAACACCATGACCTCATCATCCAGTGTAGCTTTCACTCCAACACAAAGATCTTTGCTGGAGCAGTTTTTGGAGAGAACCAGCTGGAATATTTGTGCTTGGACAGTGATGCCTGTCCCTCCTGGAACCCTTCAAGAGCTTGGATGGTTTAGTTTGGGAAAATTGTACCCTTTCATGAAATGCAGATTCAGTCCCCACCCCCACCCCCTTTTGGGGTTAAGGGAGCTGGTGTTGGGAAAGGCTGATGGAGAATATTAGAGTCAAGATCCTGACCTGGTCCCTTGCCTTCCCTCTTCAGCTCCATCCCTCATGGAGAAGTCTGAAAAATGATCACAGGAAGAAAGCCTATCCGGGATATAACTTTTTCTAGTGCCTTAGGACCCTCACAGGAAGCCTGGTTCTAAAGCTACGGTGGCTGAGGTCATCATCCTGGGGCATCAGGCCGACTGCTAAGGTTCTGTGGAGGGAAGGCACCATGAGAACAACTCCTTCAAATCTCTTGGGCCTCAGTTCTCCTGGCCTAATGTTGGCATCTGTTTTTAAACTGCTTTCCTAAGAGCTGATCAAAACAAACATCAATAAATTTGACAAAACTCTGGTATGGCTTGAAGGAGAAATGGATCGGCTAGGTGCCTAGGGGAGACCCTGGGTGGTGCAAACAGTTAAGGTGCATGACTACTAGCCAAAAAAGTTGGCAGTTCAAACTCACCCCAAAGGCACCTTGGAAGACAGACTGGACAATCTGCTTCCAAAAGGTCACAGCCATTGGAAACCCTATGGAGCAGTTCTACTCTGTGCACAGGGTCGCCGTGAATTGGAATTGACTCAACTGACAACTAACAAGTGCCCAGGTGTGTGATGGTGCTGGGTTACCACCTGAGTGTGCCTGTGCACTTCCACACCTGGGAACTCTGCTGGCTTGATTTGGGAATGGGGAGGTTAGTTTTTACAAATCCTTGCCCATGGACTTGTGTCATTTAGTGACTCCTGATGCCTTCATCAGGATCACTGCCTTGGGAGACTCTTTCCTAAAGTCCTCAGCCTAAGTGTGGCAAATCCCAGCCAACTTACTCTTAACTTATAGTGAAAACCAATCTGGGTTCTTTCTACCCTGAGAAATCCAAAGCTGCTTCTGAGAGATGGAAGAGTACAAAAGAGGACCCTTGACATGGGAATTGTGAGCCTGCTTGAAGTAAGTATATCCTACTTCTGGGTGGGAACAGTATTTGCACACCCAACCCAACCCACCCCCTCCCACCAATCATTTTGATCAGACGTTCTAAATGTAAAGGAATTCCCTCTAAACCAATTCAAACTCAAAGCTAAACTCACTGCCATTGAGTTGGATCCGATTCATAGTGACCCCTCCATGGGTTTCCGAGGTGGTATCACTACGGAAATAGATTGCTCAATCTTCCTTTCAAGGAGTGGCTGGTGGGTTTGAACCGCCAGCTTTCTAGGTTAGCAGTGAAATGCCTTAGACATTATAGCACCAGAGCTCCCAAACCAACTCAAGCTGACCAGCTGACCTCTTTTCCAGCCTCGCAGCCTGTCTGGCTCTACTCATGGGCTTTGGTGCTTTCTCCTGACAATAACAGGGAGGCGAGTGCCTGGAGCTGCTGAAATCATGACCACTAATGCTGCCTTGGGAGCTCTGGTAGCATAGTGGCTAAGACACTTGCCTGCTAACCAGACGGCTGGCGGTTCAAACCCACCAGCCACTCCTCGGAAGGAAGGCTGGGCAATCCTACTTCCATAGTGATACTGCCTCGGAAACCCAAGGAGGGGTCGCTATGAGTCGGGTTTGACTCAACGGCACATAACAACAACAACAATGCTGCCTTGCTGCAGTCACTGCCTTGGCCTCAGCCCCTCAGGGCACCCTGCACTGGCTGCAGTGACTGATGAGAACCAATTTTGTGTGTATGTATATAGACATGAGCAACAAACCAGGGGTGTGTATGTAATAAAAGTTCATGCTCTGGGTTAGGGGAATGAGTTAGGGGTAGGCAAGAGGTGGAGAAGTGTGACTGACTTTGATAAAGAGAATGATGTGTATTTTCAAACTCTTTGAATATATTAACAAAATGTTTACTGAATCCATTGTTTTATTTTAAAATAGTAATTTGTATTTTCTATTTGTAATGCCAGATATTTTAAGGCAATAAAACACTCTCAAGGTGGTCTGCTTTGTCACTGTTGGGTCAGAGATGGCTCCAGGACATTATCACACAATTATCAGGACAAGATGTGGGACTTGACAGCACATAACAACAACAACAACAACAACAACAAAGATGTGGGAAAGTGTTGGAGGGAGGGATGGGAAGGCCAGGACTAGACCAGGAGCTCCTGTGGCCTTCCATAAAAGAAGGTTCTCTGTTTACATAGATGTGACCATCCTGGTCAGTGATTTTTCTAAAGCATGGGTTGTTTAAGTTAGTCTGCCCACGTAGGGAACTGCAACTCAACATCCATCATGGGGTCCTGACCTCTTTCCATACTGTGTACACATGTAGATGGTTCACCAGAATGTGACTGCTGATGACAGCCCACTGTTAAGTTTCTGGCCGTGCCTCAAAAGTGGGCTGGTGTTTGTTCTATGATCATTCCAGTCCACACAGGCTTGATCTGGCCCAAGTCCCCCAGCTCGAGTCCAGCAGCTGTGGTTCTGCTTGCTTCTCTTCTGGACTGTCCTACTTACTGCAGCTCCTCCCTTCCCAATCATGCTAACCTTATAGCTGTATGCCGGTATGTTTTCTGTATATTTCCTCCTAAAAGATGCACCGTGCCTGTGGCATGCTGGCATTGTATGTTAGCCATTCTTGGCTGGAAAGAGGTAATATGCTTTTTCTTTAAATCATGTGGGGAGGAAGCCAAGCCTGGGCTGGGAAGACAGTATCTGTAGCGTCTGCTACATACTTTACCTATGCTATCCTTTGGGATCTTGCCTTTATTTATCTGCAGACACATACTTAGAGCACTCAAATTGTTTTGTGCTTTCATTTACTTTTTTTTTTCTTAAGTAGCCTCAATGGATCTACACTGAAATGCTAACTGTCTGTAGATCACTGCCATTCTTTTTTGCCTCCTTACAATAGTTGGTGAGTAAGGAAGACAGTTCCAACCACAGAGCTATCTTTCTAGATGTAGTGTTGTGGGACCATGAGCCCTGGAATTGCTGCAACCACTTATAGCACCATGAAGGAAGCATCTGAGGATGAAGGCAACACAGAGAGGAGGGCAGAGAATTAGAGCTGGAGCCCCCATCAAACCATTCCTGAAGTCTATTATCTTTTTAACTTCACAGTTGTGTGAGCCAATGTTATCATCATTGTTTAAGCTAGCTTAAGGTACATTTTGTTCCTTTCACCTAAAGAGCCTTAACTGATAGAGAATTCACGATGCATTTAAGTATAAATGCCAAGCTTCCTACCCTGGCCTTACATGGCCCATCTCCCTTTCTCATCTTATCTCCTTCCTTTCATTTCCTAACTCTTCACCGCACTGTATGTATATAGACATGATCTTATTTCTGCTCCTTGAACAAGACTCTTTCCACCTTCCAGTTTCTGATCCTTCTGCCTGAAATGCTAGCTTTGTCTTTGGACAGCTGACTCCTTCTGGGTGTTCAAGTCTCAGTTCACATTCCACCTCCACAGTAAGGCCTTCCCTGATGACCCACTCCAAATTACATACCCCATCTTGACCACAACACTGTTTTCTTTAGGGTTCTCATCAGTATCTGAAGTTCTTTCATGTGTTGACTTGTGATTGTCTGTCGTCCCCTTGACCATATAATGCAGGATCCACAGGAGCAGGGGCACTGCTTGTGGTGTTCACTTCTCTACCCCAATTGTTTGGTATGGGGTGAATGTGCAGTAAATGTCTGTGGCAATGGTGGATGAGCTTGAGTCTAGTGGCTATGTGAGGGCTCAGCCAGAGTGGAGGCCCCCAGGGTAGTGACTGCAGGGCAACTGTTCACTCCAGGCATTACCCTCGGGCCTTGGGGCTTAGTTATTCCCCTTGTCCAGGACATGCAGCTGTTTCTTCTTTCCTGCCTGGTTCCCTGCTCTGCCTCTGTGTTCACAAGAATCTGTTTCTTGCTAAGAAGAAAACAAGGAATGGTCACGGCTGTTCAGTTGTGAACTCAGAATCTTGAAGGTGGGCAAAGAGGTGGGAGATGTGACTTCAAGAGTATGAGAGAAATGAGCAAGTGACAATAAGGAGCTGGAGGCAGCCTGGCGCGCCTGGTCTCGTGCTGTTCCATTCACTCTGGTGCATCTACTGGAGACGAGAACTCTGATTCTCCTGTTCCAGGGCTCAGAGGAGGCAGGGGTGCTCTTTTCTTAGTGGAGGTCAAAGTACATGGATTAATCCAAATGTGGTGGTTATGTTTGTATGTCAACTTGGCTGGGCCTGGTTGAGTGGCTGGGCAGTGGGTGTTAGTTATTCCCCATGATGAGACTGGCAGTCAGCTCCATGGTGGGATCTACCACAAGCAGCTGAGTAGCTGCTTTGGGTATGTTTTCCCATTTATAAGCAGCAGCTTTGGGAATGGTCTCTAGCTTATGGCACGCTTGAACCCCGCATGTAGCCGTGTCATTGTTCAGCAGCCTGCCATGCTCTGCCAACCTTGGGACTTACAATGGACTTAAATTAATGGCCTGCTGTGTGGTTTGGTAACATCGGGACTGTGCCTTTTTACTGGTCAACCTTGGGTTTGTCAGGCTCAGCAGCCAGCAGCTGTCTGAGTGAAGAATCGTCTCTAGCTTCAGTGGGCTGGGAGCAGGAGGCAGAGCTGAAGCCCAAGGCTGAGGGGCTTTTACCCAGCCCCTAGAGCCCAGCACTTTGAACTTGGACTTAAAGCCTCCAAACTGTGAGAGAATAAACTCCTGTTTGTTCAAGCCATCCCATTTGTGGTATATTCTTGTCAGAGTGGCACTAGGTAACCAGAACATCGAATGT